TTAAAAATTGCGATTTGGTACATCGTATGTCTATGACCAACAGTGTTGCCAATTTAGCAATTTTAGTGATAGATTTAGCACTTTTTAACTCGTTTAGCACCAAAAAAAAATTGATCTAGCAAATATCATCTTTTTTAGCATTTTTTTCTGGATATTTTCAAAATTGTCCGCCTATTTGGTTTTATGCTAAAAAATTTTCCGTTTTTCGATTCCACATAGACCTATTGATTTTTTTTATGTTTCACGCTATGACCTTTATTTTTAATACTAAAGAAGTGTCAGAATATCTTTTAACAAGTAAAAACCCGACCCGGTCGAACTTGTTATAAACACCATGTTTAACACCACCCTGCACCACGTGGTGTTTATTAAAATTTTCTTAAAACATCTTATGGCTATGAGGTATATACACCTTGATACGGTGAAAATGTGCCTCATCAAAATATTGGTTCTAGACCCCATGTTTCTTTGCACCAAATCCGTTTCAGAACCTTTTTTACTTGTTTCCAAATTCAAATTATAGCTAATTCGGTTGGGGCTTCCCCAAAAAGGCAAATTTTAAGAAATATAGATTTCATTATTAGCTATAAGTGCACTTTTTAATTTTTTTAGCACTTTCTTGCATTTTTTATGGACAAAGTTTTGGCAACACTGATGACCAATTTGTATGTCTATGACCATAAGGTCAGTTTGAAGTGTTCTGCAATTGAGGACATCATTAGATTTGATCAGTTTATTAATAGGTTCTAACGTCTTCTTTATCACAACGATTTCTACTATAAATATTGTTGATTTTTTTAAAGAATCAGTTTAAATTATTTACAATAGCTGGGCATTTTTCCATTTTGTATCCATTAGGCAGACCTATAATAGGATGGTTTCAACGAGATTTATATTCCAACCGCCAGTGGTGAGAAACGATGCTATTCGCTGCAAATTGAAATTACTGATATAATTTTGGATTTAGCACATTCAACCGTCCAAAGGTCTACACAACAACTTTATATATTTAGTGTATGGTTGCTGCACTAAAAATTGTGCATTGTATTTCCCAAGAACTCACCAACAGCTTAGTAAATGCAAATTGTTTAATAAAATGATAACAATTGTTTGTGATATACAATTCAATGTTATACCCTACCTATCTCCACATCTGGAATTTGTTTTCTAGATAACACTATTTCTGTTGACATTTTAGTATTCACGTTCACAGCATACGCAACTATATCGTTGCAGATAACAAATCCCTCTGTTTATAGAACATACATACCTGACTAGACAACAGCTACTGTTAAAATATTCATAAATAACAACAAAAGCAGTATTTATTATGTAAATAGTGATTTCCTTTTTTATTAAAAATAGACAATGAAATTAAAACACAAACATTAAAAAAAACATCTGACTTCTATGCAATCCTGGAAAGTGAATATGTTGGTGGCAACCTAAATCTAGAGTTAACTTCTTTTTGCAGTTCCATGAAATGTGCTGTTTTTGGCACTTTTCGATGCTAGACATTTACAATTGTTTCGAATCGAGTTTAGATTTCAACTGATCCGCAACATATTGCCAGTATTTGCGACGTATTATATCGTGTTTCTTGGACATATCATCGCAATATTGCAGTTCACGTTGTATTGTTTCTGGTGTGAAACCGAAATGTTTAAGTACAAAGAAACGTTGATTCCAAGCGGAATTGTTACGCATATCCTCGGATATTAAACGATCTGTAAAAGCCAATTCGTTATCGTAGAGACTGAAAAAAAAAACATCAATATTTTATAGCCTTTTTATAGAATTAATTATGATGTAAGGAATGTTTTAAGTGCACTAATTCTACATTCTTGAATGTAAAGAAGGAAAGTTAAATTTTAATTGCTTACTTAAAAACTCATTCAAAATGATCATACAGCAAAAATTAAAAAAAAAAAAAAATATAATACATATTTCCCATTCGATAACTGTGACAACATGGGTATTATTTTGAAGCGATTGAGATCCTGATTACGAAGAAGTAGAAGTAAATAGATTTCCAAAGTTCGGTAGACTTGAATTTAAATGGAAATTCTGGATTGTAGCTATTCCCTAGTAGAAAGACTTTAATCCCAGATCGAAGGTCGTCCACCCAAGACTACCATTTTATTTAAATGCTCAGGTTTGGAAAAACATTTTATAATCATGACATCAATTTGTTGAAAATGATTTAAATAAGCCCCGTAGGGCCACATGTGCTAACAACATTGGAGGCCCATATTTCCGGAAATACCGATTTCCGCAAGAAAAAAAGTATACCATTGTAATCAGGGCCAAAAGGACTACATGTGGCAAAATTTTTAAAAAGCCCCGCGAGGGGCCCTAAACTAGATTTTTTCCTCTTTGCTGCGTGAATAACTGCATCACATTCAATGCAAGACTTACTTGTATGTTCTAATGGCCCATTGTCTATGTTGCCAGGCATGGTAATTTTTCGCATCAGTTCGTAAAGCCATTTCCGTCAACTCCAACTCCTTGGATGGATCATTCAACATTTCCACAATGACACGGCGATGGTGCCAAACCTGATAGTTTTTAGCATTCTCGGTAATAACTTCCTCGATGTAGTTCAACTCCTCGTTCAGGTCGCTACCCAATTCACGCAAAATATCACGTCTATACTGCCACACCGTGTAATTAGCCGGATTAAGGCGCAAAGCATCTGTTGTCAACTCCAAGGCTCTAGCCGATTTCTCTTTGCGAGCTAATATAGCGCGGAAATAATCAAAGATTTCGCGAACTACAAAGTCAAGATAAGCATAAATTATATACTCCATAACATAGCACCATCAATAGCTTACATTTTGCACTGTAGGCAATTGCGACAACTGGATTCTCGCCATCATCCTGTGGCAATGGTGTTACATCTTTCCATTCGTTACGTTGACTGTATGGTATAAAGGACTCGCTCCACTCTTCATCTGAACTATCGCTCATTTTGATTTGTTAAAATGCCAAACAACTATATACACAAAAATATATTCAACTACTTCAGGGTCCGTCTCCTTAACCAATGACTAAGAGTCTAAACGCAACCAGAGAGTCACGAGTCAGCGTCATACTTTTTCGCCGGCGTGAAAACCAAACGAAAGAGTTAGCGTTAGCGGCACAAAATGTCAATTATTTGTTTTCATTTTCTGACAGAAAATTTTACGTTGTGCAAACCAAAATCAATTTATTATTTAATAAACAATAATGTCAAGGAATTTGGATAAAATTATTGAAAAAAATATTTTTCTTCCATTTTATTAATAATTCATTAAAAAACATCCACAATCTTTGAAAATATTTGTTTTTTTAACAGTACTGCCATATGTTTTGATATAAATTATCATTAAAATTTGGCAGCACTGTTGATTTTTACCTAAAATATGGCAACTCAATTGAGAGCAAGTGAGAAATTTTGAGTATGACGCTGAGCAAAAATGAATAAAATCTATTCTAGCGTCATGCCGCTAGACGCGAACGTCAGCCGTCGCGATTTCCCGTTGCCTACAAGAAACACACGGCAAACGACTGTCGCTGACTCTAGACTCTATGGTTGCGTTTAGACTCTAAGACGAATTGTTCGAAATGCGAAGAAGTTTCAGTTTCCAGAATTCAAAGCTAACGCGTTAGAAATGACGGCGTAGAAAAAAAGAAATAAGAGGTATAACGAAATGATGGATAAATATCCGGAATCAAAACAAAATTAATGACCGACAAAACCAGGGTTCTACAGACCAATCACACACTTGTAAAAGGGTTATGTAAGTCGACAATGGCAACAAAAACAACAGTCGCATTTGTTAATAAAACAAGACATACCATATCGGTTGAAAACCTGAAGGAGTACACTTTTACACTCTTGTTGTTTTATTAATAGCGCATTTACGCACTTTTTATGATGTGGATTTACGAAATCCGGAAAATAAATTAAGGTTTTTTACACTAGCTTTGAGATCATTTCAAATGACTGTCAGCTGGTATTTGTTTACATATACATATACACACTCACACTTATTTACAGAAAGAAAAAAAATACCATCAATTTTAAATAAAAAAATATGATTTAAAGTCAAATTTTTATTAGAATTTGATATTTGAATTTTCTCTTAAATGAAAATCATCTGCAAATATGGGTTATCTCCTTAAAATGAAATGTAGAGAAATCCGATTATATATGTTGTTTCTAAAATTGCTTTAATGAAATGAATTCTGAACTGAATTCATGTGTCACGTTTCAAAGAAACATTCGCGGTGCATGGTGACTCAATATTTGGTAACAATTGTTACCAAATGTTGCTAAATATTGTCTGTTTACTCACAATTTTAGTAAAAGAGAGAGCTAGTTTGATAGTTCTACGCTGAGAACTTACTGAATGTTACTGGATAAATTTGTTCCAGTAAGATTTATCCAGCACAATTCGATCAGCCATTGATTTTAAATTTTGACCAAGTCAAAACCAAAACATTTTAAATTAAATTACGATATATTTTTCAAAATCTTACTTTTCTCTGAACGAATTCGAGTGACGTACGACCAAACTCATTGGTTTTAAAATATTATTATTTTCGGTGTATATCAAAAAACCTTTTTTTAATATGATTTTCGAATTTTACAAAAACAGGGTGCTAGTCTCTAAGGGTCGTACCTAAATTCATTCGTATTCGTACGATGTTATTTTTACGATGGTGGTTTAATAAATATTTTTCAGGTAATTAAGAAAATGTTTTCTTCCATTTTCGCCGTTTTCAATTGGCACACAAGTAAATAAGGTTCTTGCGTATTTGGTTAATACGGACGTTCAACAACCCTATAAAGGTGGGTGGGTATTTTGGTACACAACACACAGAATATAGGCACGGGCCTGAAATTGAACTTAATGGTAAATGCATGGCATATTATTTTATCTCTCCATATTATTTTATGATATGCTCCTTCTCCTTTATTTTGTCCTACAAATCGTATTCAGCGCTCGCCAGGCAAATTAGGCAATGTGCTTTTTCCATAATTTTTATTATTATTATTATTTTTTTTTTATTTTATTTTATTTTTTTTTTTTTTTTTTTTTGAAGGGACAGATTTTTGCCCAAAATGTCTTTATTTCGCATCCAAAATGCATCAAACTCGGCTTAAATATTCCTTATTACCTTTATACATTCCATGTCAATGTTTGGTTGAGTTGTTTTCGAGTTTCAAATTATAGAATATGTATTGTGTAGATATTTTTCATAAAAATGTGTATTACTTATGTTTTTATTAGTGAAAAATTTCGCAAAAAATGTCATCCCATTCTCCCACTTCCTGTAATCCAGAATAATTAATTTTTCCCCATAGCGGATTTTTTCGCTTTTGAACTTCATTCAGAATGAGGCAAAAGCGAGAATGCTAAAAAAATCACTATGAAATGTTGTTCAGAATAAGTCATAGTTCAGAATAAGTCATAGTTCAGAATAAGTCATAGTTCAGAATAAGGCTGATTATTTTGTTATATTTTTTCAAAACATTACACACACTCACACATTTTGTATATGGATTTGGCATAACAAACCACAGTACCATGAGTATATCCACTCCATACATACCGCATGATAAAATACATAATGATTCTAAAAAAATGAAACTTTAAACGGTGCAATTTATTAAAAGCAACGTCAAATGTGCACGATTATCATTATAAACAATAAACACTCAAAATGGTATAATTTTTTTTAGAATGTCATTTTACACATTTAGAATCTAGGTTTAAAATTATGGGGATATTGATTAAAACGGGGACGCAAAGCGGCATTTGCCTTTTCATATTCCTTGCCGGTTTGACCCAGTATAATGCCTTCGGCTAATTTCACATCTTTTCCAGGCGGTGTCGATGCCGCCTCAGCAACATCAATAATACGGGGATTTTTACGATACTTGTACCACCAGTATTCAAAGACCAGTGTAATACAAGCCATTCCAATGCCAACGAAAATCACAATAAATACACCACCAATATTCTCAATTGAAATACCATCGGATTGGTCTTCCGGTTTGTCACACTTGGCTTGAGCTTCATCATTTTTCCACCATTTTTCTTTGAGCTTTTCCAATTGTCGTTTGTTGAGTAGAGTCAATATTCTGAAAATTAAACATTTTATGAGTCTATATATGTTAGAATAGCAGTGAAATTGAAATACTTACGCATTATTAAACTGATCCTTTAGATGGGAACCCTGCTGCACTGCTATGGCATAGGGCTTACGTGAAAATTCTTCTCCCACCACTTGAAGGTCACAATTAGTCATTACAAGATAACGTATGTCTGTAGCATCTCCCAAGAATGCAAATCCAGTTGCTGTGGTTGAATTACGAACTCTTCGAACCGCCTCATCTAGTGTGGCCGGTAATTGTGCCTCTTGCATGGCTTGCCACATTTTCGTATATTTGTCACTAACCGGATAATCCCATACAGCTAGGCGTGATCTTTCCAAGGGCGATAGCGAATCATTGAGTGACAGATCTTTCCAAATTTCATAGAACATTTGTTCAATATTTGCCATTCGCTCAAAATAGACCATTGCCGATGAACCATTTAGTGGGGCATACAATATTTTATATTGTTTGGCAAGATCATCCAATGATTCCACGGGTGTATCCAAACGTGACACTGTCAGAAAAGCAGCCAAATTGGCAGTGTATGAAGCAATGATAATGAAGCTGCAGGAACAATGAAAAAATGTCAGTTAGTTCGTTTGATAATTATAGCATTGGCAACTTACCCAAACAACCACCATGTGGCGGCCACTAAACGTCCAGAAAGATTTTTCGGTGCTTCGCCACCACCTTGAGGTGTCAAAGAAGTCATACAGAACCACAGGCATTCCTTCAGATTAAATTCCCTTTTTTCATCGTCGTCTTTGTATTTCTCTCGATTATTCTGATAGCTGTACGGGCTCCAGCGATCAAAGACCCACATAAGAAAACTGGTAAAGAAGTATGCGGCCAGGATACATAGCCAGACATTTGTCTCCAACACAGTTAAGAATTTGAACAACGAGCTAGGTGTACTTGGTCTCTGCATCATTATAGTTATACCAACTAAATCATAATAAGGTACCGTAAAATCGATGACTATTTCACGTTCCGCCATCACAGACATTGATCCCAGACCAATATCGGCTTTTTTGTCTATCAGTTTCTTTACGATGCCATTCCATTCACCTTTTTCGTCCATGTTGCCGAATTTGCCATCTTCTACCTCTTCGATGGTATAATCGAAATGTACAATATCGGCAATTTCATTGATAAGATCAATACAATAGCCCTTGTATCCCTTGGGCGCCGTTTCATCTCTCATAATAAATGGTGCTTGCTGAAAGAAGGGGATTTATGAGAATGTAAGAATGTATAATTAATGGAAATTTGTGAGCTTCATTATACATATTATACTTACCACAACCGTAAAGATTCGATATACAGTATCAGCAGTTAGGTTCTTCATTGCTTCCTCATCATTAGCAACAAGTGGGGAATCTAAACCAGCTGTCCAACTGCCAATTGATTTACTATTGACCGAATTACCACCTCGAATTTGTACAACATTTACATCCATTTCAAATTTGAAATAACTGTAACCATTGAATGGTTTTCCTGGTTGCGTGACCAATTCAAAATCACCGTATGATGTCGGTTCGGTAACCTAAAATCAAAACGAAAATCTTTGATTTATTCACAAACGATAATAACGACAATCGATTAACACCCGAATGTGTCAACACGATACGAATAATTACCAAATTAAATGTAATTAACATGTAGTGATTTCGATAATACAAGAGTTTATAATTAATTGAAATAAAATGACAATGCTAATGTATCAATAAAATGATTTAGATAATAATTTAATTTGATGATAAAGTGTTTTTCGGATTAAGTTTATGCGGTAAGCTCTTGACCATGGCATAATTATACAAGGTAGTCTCATG